TTTTAGTAAGTATTTTGAATTATGACAAATATGAATGAGAACAGAGAGTGCTAGTACCTTTGAAAAGCATTGGCATCTACAATGGCTTTGGACAAAGACTCTGCACTTCAATGCAGCTAATAGGTTTGTCAGTACAGAAGTATGTAAATGATTAGTTTTGCAGCCTACCTTGAAGAAGTGCTATGTGCAGCTTGACAACTTGGCTTTCTCGCCAACAGAAGGTAGTCCAGTAAAAAATATTACCTCACTCTCCTCATCTTTCTAGTTTTGCAAGGTTTAGTCTGAACGTAGGCCAAAGACAACAGGACAGAAAACTGTTAACAATGTGTAGCTTTTGGAAGAATGGGATGATTGATAGCCCAGGAAAGTGGATAGGAGCCCTTTAGATACCAAGGGGTTTGAATTAGGTCCTTAAATATTTCAACTAAGGAAATTCTTATATTAAAATTACCAATTCAGTATTGTTCTACCACAAAAGAGATAACTTTTCCATACATTAGTTTTTTGTCATTAGTTACTGAAATTTTTATCATGTGCCTTTTCTGATATTTTGTTTGAGTACAAACTAGCATAAAATTTTGAATGAGATTCTTTATATTTTTTAAATATTCATTCATTTCTCCCTTTCCATTTTCCCATTATTAAGACACAGCAAGATATGGCAGCTGGAACTGAATGTAACATAGTGGAAGATTATGCAACATTCATAGCATCTTGTTTGAAAAATGAATAGGTTTAACTTTATTATTCTATGTTGTATTCTGTACGTGCAGCCTTTTTCTCTTTCTGGTGTCATTCATTCATAGGATGTGATGAAGCAGCTATTTGTGCATAGTATAATTTAATGGATACGACTGACATTCAGAAATATTCTAAATTTAAATAAATATTGACTTTCTCTTTGTTCTAATCTAGAGAGTCAAAACATCTGGCACTAAATGTAAATTTTACTTTTCCAAATTCATTCTGGAGGACTTGTAAGATATATAAACCTCAAAAGCCAATGAAGATTGCCCAGGTTAAAGCCTGAACAGTTTGGTTTTTATATAACATGACTTGTCACTAGTTTAGTTTAGTGTCTCTGAGAGGAGCTAGCTGGATAACACCTGAGACTTCAGACTTTTCTAACCATATAAATTGTCACCGACTGTGGTGGCGTAGGTTGCCAGGCAATACTTCATCTTTCCAGGGCTGGGGCAACTACAGAGTAGATATTCAGTTATCATGGTCCACTCACTTAATTGGCTTTTCTGCCTAGTCCTCCAATAGGGGTGCGGTTAGTGCCAGTAGTGATAGAAATCTAAGGCACAGCTCCTCAAAAGGGATTTAGGCCCCTAATTGCCCTTATAATCAGTGGGCATTAGGTGCCTAAATACCTTGATGGATCTGGGCCTAAACTGTTGCAAACATGCCAAAAATAGGCATTTGATAAGGATTTTTGGTTACTAGTAAAATGAGCTATATTTAAAGCGGTGATCTGGGTTTCATACTGTGGGCTAGGAACGTTGTATATTTAAAATAAGATTAATATGACTTATATATTAAGGAGTAAAAACGGATGGTACTTGGTCCTGCTGTGAGGGCAGGGGACTGGACTCGATGACCCCTCAAGGTCCCTTCCAGTTCTATGAGAAAGGTATATCGCCATATATTCGGGGGGAGGGATAGCTCAGTGGTTTGTGAGTGGATACTGCATCCAAATAATAACTCTGCGCAATATTTTACTCTTCTGTGTATTAAATTCTTCATGCCATAACTCTTGGAACTGAAGCTTACCTACTGATGGTGGATTGCTATCAGCAAGAAGGTAACATCTTAGGCAATCCATGCTACAGTTTCTGCTGAACAAATTCGTACAATGTATCAGAAATGTCTGATTGCTAATTTGCACATAAATGTATTATATGAAATCAAATAAGCATATCTTTAAGCATCAATTATTTAATTACACAGTGTGTCTATGTATAAATATGTTGTGAATTTAACCAAAAGTCTTAAGAGATTTTTCTGGACATGTTTCTTTAAGTACAGATACATCTCAATGCTTAACAGTTTTCTCCTGGGTGTCTGAGACTTTGACCTGCTACGCTGATGCACTTAGGTCCCATGTATACAGTTCATTTTACTGGCTTTGGTGATCATAAGATAATGGGCCTTCTCAGTGTGGCTACAATTTAAAATGAAAGAACTTTGACAACAGATATCAAGCCTTTTTCTTCTCACCCATCTCCACTGGTGTGCAATTAACTCATCTGAACCTATCTACACCAGTGCAACAATTGTTTTCAACATCAGGGTCAGAAATAGCCACATTTGCTGGTGTAGGACCTTCTACACTACAATTTCTAATCAAATAGATGACCAGGTTGTTGCTTGGTTGGCTGAGTGTAGATTGTAGACAGACATTCCCGTAGGTAAACTGCAAAAACTGCAGACATTTTAACTAACATTTCCTTACAGGTTTGGCTCCTCCATCCATGTGTGTCACAAGCCATTCCAGCATGCATTGTCCCACCATCTGCTGATGCCCCTCTATGGTTAGACTCCCTGCATTATCCCCTGTATTGGGAAATATGGGATTGCTGGGAAGACTCATTTGTAGCTGCTGGTGTCACCCTGTGTATATAACAAGTATTTTTCAGACAATGTGAGCCTCCAGAAAAGTTTTTAGCAACCACTGGGAAAAGTCAACAAAGGTTACTACAACCGTGTTGGCTTAAAGCAGATAATAGGAACAAGTGTTGGAAACCCTGTTAAGACACAGTAACATTTAGGTTTTAAGGACCTGTACTACAATGGGGAAAACTTCATACCTGGTTTTAAAACTAGTTCATCTAAGCCAGTCTGGCTTCTTTAGCCCACTGAACTGAAATCTAAACTATATCTTCCAACAGTTTTAAAGTCACTTTAGCGGAACCAGCTTTAAACCATTCAGAAAATGTTTACAGTATAGTAACAGACCAGGATACAGAGAGAAATGAGGCTTAGGGAAAATATTAAAAAGCACTATATGAGGAGAGAGGGCTGGGTGACTTAGGAGTCAAAGGGTGTGTCGGCTACACTGCACCCTTACCTTGAAATAAGCGATGCAATTTGCACTACACAAATCATGTAGCTTATTTCAAGGTAATTTCAAAATCGCTTATATGTAGACAGCATCAAATTTTGAAATAAAGCACTATTCCAACAAGTTCCTTGACACTCATGGAGCAAGAGTTATAGGGACACCGGAATAGCGTGCCCATTATTTAGAATATATCCCGAAATAGCACCACTGTCTAGATGTAGCCAAAGTGAGGTGAATTCAGTTGGTCAATTTTTTAATACTGGTTTTAGTTACAGGAGTTCAAAACCAATACACTAATTTATTTCTGTTTTTCAGCATTCTTATGATTTAAAAACGTTTTATTTTTAAAACTTACCCAAGGCCTTAAGACCTTATATAGTTAATCTTTAGTGTGCTATTTTTTCAAGCAGGTTAGAAACTCCTGTAAATTTGCCTGACTGACCTTTCAGTATAGTGGTGCTAGCAGATAAATATACAATACCATAATGTTGTACTACAATAAGTGCTAATATATCATATTGTAATAGTAGAAAGATTCCTACTTCATATTTTATGCTAGGAAATAGTCCAGTGTAGGCTCAAACTAGCAGTATATAATCTTTTTTTTCCCTTATGGGTAAAAAAATTGCAGTACTTAGTGTTTTATATAGAATATTGAATTTTTTTATTATGATCATTGCATAGATGCAAATTTTTTTTTCCAAAATACGAAATTATGGACTGTTTAATCTTCAGGAGAAAATACTATTTACAATATCACTTATTTCAGAAAAGGTTTTGGCGTTTAAGCAGATGCATATCAATTGAGTCTGCCAGCTTTGTTTTTTGCTAGTGTTTTTATCGTGTGTTGCTATTCAAAGGAACTATTAATTTCTGAAGCTACCCTCTTCAAGTCAAACATCAATAGTAGACAGGTACTTGGTTTCACCCTTAGGGACTGGCTAAAGTTGACAATCACTTTGCAAATTATCGTCTTTGCTACATAAAATCCTCCTAATTCTTACACTACATTGCAGAAACATCAGATTTTTGACAAACACCAACAAGAAATGCTGCGCATTCTATCTTTGCAGCTCTGTGAGATATTTTTGACAAACATTACAGGCATTAGGCTGTTGAGTAAAACTGACTTTCCTATAGCTAAACAAAATGTTGTTTTATAAAATGAACTAATTGTAATTTGGGATTCTGAATTCTTGCAGTTTTATTAACATCGTAATAACCACTTCTATGAGAGTATTTCAATGTTACTGACTTATTGTACCATCAGTAAAGTGACATTCAATGAATAAGACTATGGTGTGTATGCATTTTGTAAAATTAGTACATAGATACCTTATTTAAAAGGCCTCTAATGTTCAGTAGGAATTGTCTCATGAAGGGAGATTAACTTCTCAGCTATAGATTGGCGAATAAATGCTACTAGTAGTGGTAGGTCCCAGTTAATCCAACAAATGATAGACAACAGTTTCCTTTGTGAAATTGTCACCAAATCAACAAGAGGTGTTGCAATTTTAGACTTGGTTTTGGTGAGGACATTATAGAAGAGCTGGTTGTGAGATGTAACTTTGAGTTGAGGGCTCATGAGTTGACTCAGTTTAAATTAAACAGAAGGAACGTCAAAACCAACTATCCACTTCTCCCCCCCCAGCACCCCCACCTTAAAGGAATTAGTTAAAGAAATCAGCTGGACTGAAAAGCTCTAACACAAACATGGTGGAGACTTTTTTTTTTTCCCAAATCAGCTCTACAAAAATTATCTGAAAAAGCTACATTCTGGAGGTTAGAAAATATAGGAACACAATGCAAATTAGCTCTTGCCAAAGAATTTAAAAGAAACAAAGTTTTTAGTTGTCTATATATAAAAGTTTTTCTTGATGCACAACAAAGATGTGAGGGGGATTGGTGAGTATAGCAAGCAGTGTCGCAGCCCCCTACTAAATAAGAAAGGATGTTCTTGGGCTGGGCTGCTATGTTTGTGAATGAGTAAGAGCTTAAAGATGATTTAGGTATGGTCCAAAAACTAATGAAATACATAACGATGGTTTTCAGTAAGAATGATCTGGAACACGTACACGAGAAATTAGCTTGTTGTGTGAAAAATAGGAGAGGATGGATAATTTCCAGTTGCGACTACTGAAAGACCTGGCAGCAGATTACTAGTCTGATAGCAAGAATTTTAATACATCTCAGTTCTGGAATAGACTCCCAAAGGTAGTAGTGGAATCTCCATCACTGATGGTCTTTAAGGATAGATTGAAATAGTGTATGTTTACTTGGACCTGCTTAAGTGCAGGGTGTGTCTACACTGCACCCTAAACTTGAAATAAGATAAACAATTTGCGCTACACAAATTTAATATCTTGAGTCTATTTTGAATAGGCTATTTCAAAATTTGGCACTGGCTACACAGCTCCAAATTTCATAATAAAACACTATTTTGAGACATCCTTTATCCCTCATGCAACAAGGTTTACAGGGATGCTGAAATAGCGTATCTGCTATATTTCAAAGTAGCGTACACATTCAAAAGACGTGGGGGAGCTATTTCAGGATACCTCTGGTATCCCAAAATAACTTTGATGTGTAGACTCAGAGTATGTCTATCTATGGTGGGAGGGGTAGTGCCATATTACTGAAGAACAGCTAATGATGTATTAATATTTAAGAAAGGCAGGAAAAAAATGATTCTGGCAATTACAGACCTGACATTATTTGTATACAAAGCTTTAGAAAGAATGGTGAAAAAATGATATTCATGGAAGTAAACTGCAAAGGAGATCTAATGCAACACAGTGCTACCAAAGCTAGATCCCACCAGATTAACATGACTGCCTTCTTTGAGGAAATAACCACTGAAGTGCAGATGTAATATACCTGGACTTCAGTAAATCATTTTACATGGTACCATATGGGAAATCATTAATAAACAGAGAACCTGGGGCTGAGTACAAGAATTTTAAGGTGGATCCAGACATGGCTAAAGGGGAGGAGCCAACAGGTTGTTCTGAAAGGTGAATTATTGGACTGGCAGGAGGGTTCGAATGAAATTCTTTAAAGATTGGACTTAGGGTGCTCTTAATTCATGACCTCAACACAAGACAGAGGAATGTATTAATGACATTTGCGGTTGACACAAAGTTGGAGGCATCATTGAAACAGAAGAGAATCAGAATACTAGGGAGGAAGAGCTGGCTGACCTCAAAGTGTAGACACACAGAAACAGGCTGGAATTCAATGGTACTACCACATGTAATGCCATGCACAGCTCTAGTAAGAGACAAAGAAGGTGCAAAATGTTTGATTTCAGTATGATTATGATCCAGCAATGCGATGCAACTGTGAAAAGGACAAATGGAATTGTAGGATGAAGCAGGGAAGGCATTTCCATTAGAAAGAAGGAAGTATTAACACCATTTTGCCAGTGCCACATAGGACCTCGTGCAGAATCCTGTATACAATTCTAGTGACCAATGTTAAGAAAAGATCAATTTAAACTGGTACAGCTGCAGAGAAGAGCTACTTAGATAATCCAAGGACTGGAAGACCTGTTTTATGAGAGACTAGAAAATCTTGGCTTGTTTAGCCAGAAAATACAAGGCAGGGGAAGATATGATTAGCGTGTGCTCTATAAATTTATCAGGGGCAAATATCAGGGAGGGTGAAGAGCTATTTAAGTAACGGGACAACACTGGCACAAGAACAAATGGATTTAAAGTGGCCACAAATAAATTTAGACTAGAAATGAGAAGATGGTTTCTAACCATTAGGGTGCATCTAGACTGGCGAGATTTTGCGCAAAATCTTGCCGCCTGTCTACACTGGCCGCGAGTATTTGCGCAAGAACACTGACTTTGTACTGCACAAAAACAGTGGTTCTTACGCAAATACTCCGACGTTCCCACTCAGGGGGATAAGCCCTCTTGCCCAAGAGGGCCAGTGTAGACAGGCGGCAAGATTTTGCGCAAAATCTTGCCGCCTGTCTACACTGGCCCTCTTGGGCAAGAGGGCTTATCCCCCTGAGTGGGAACGTCGGAGTATTTGCGGAAGAACCACTGTTTTTGTGCAGTACAAAGTCAGTGTTCTTGCGCAAATACTTTTAACGGAAAAGTTTTTCCATTAAAAGTATTTGTGCAAAATCATGCCAATCTAGACTCAGCCTTAGGGGATGAAGGTTCTGGCACAAGCCTTCCACTAGGAGTTGTAGGGACAAAACACAGTTTTAAGAGCAGATGATTCTTGGCCGAGGCAGGGGGATTAACTTGTTTGCTTCTTTCGAGCCGATGGAAACACTAAAACGTCAAAAAATAATTGGTCAGTTTAAATGGAAAAAGTGGAATTTTCCTACAGCTCAAGCATTCTGAAAAAGAATCAAAATTGTTTAATTTTGACTTCAATGTCATATTTAATGTCATTTTCTTAATGCCTCTTGATATGTAATGAAACAGTTTAGCACTGAACAAAACCATCAGATAAGTATTCACTACCAATTAAACTAGTAGCTGTTTAATATGCTTGGATTAGTTTGGAATATTTTCTTTTTAAAAGCATCTGTTTCACAACAATATGCCCTTCTGAACATGAAAATAAGATTTTTACCACTAATTAGCAGTTTTATTAAAAAGAAAAGTAAAACGAACCAGGTGAACTGTAGAGCCAGCCGGGGAGGGGTAAAAGAAGCCCAAAAGCATCTAGATTCATTAGGGAGGTGCTGAGATGGGACCCTTCTTGTGCAGCAATAAATTTGATAGAAATTGAGTATGTGCCTTTTGAGTTACTTAGTATTTAAAAGTGGCCTCAATTTACTTGAAAAAGGTAAGGAGCCTTTTTAGCTAAGAAAAATGAATTTAAAACTTGATAGGTTAAAGTATGTTTGCTTGCAAAGCTAGGAGTTGAAGATAAGTTATAAGATCTATAACCTTAACTGCATATATGTATAAAGATTAAACCAATATTATTTTCAAAGCTGAAGTCATATGTTGTGGCCGTGAAAGCTCATGAAACCATCTTTCCTGTTTTGTTAGTCTTTAAGGTGCTGCTAGACTATTAGTTATTTAAGTTTTTACAAGTGAACAGTTAATTTTCTTAAGGCAAGAAGAGTAGCCCACTGGAGTGTATCTACACAGCACCCTAAACTCAAAATAAGATAATTGAAATAAGATACGCAATTTGCATAGCACAAATTGCGTATCTTATTTCGACTGTATTTCAAAATAACATGCTATTTCGAGACAGCCCTTAACTCTTGTGGAACGAGAGTTACAAGGATGCCGAAATAGATCTCAAAATAGCAGGCACATTCAAAAGATACAGGGTAGCTATTTCAGGATACATCCGGTATCCCGAAATAGCTCCACAGTGTAGATGTATCCTAGAAGATCATGTTTGGAAAGAGGTTCTTCAAATGGCCTCTGCACAGATATGCAACTTGTAATCTGTGACAAAACTGGCCAAGTCCATCTTGAAGAACTCCAGTTACACCTTAATCACAGTTCCCCAATTTACCACCTTGCTTTCTAGCATGATCACCAACCTATTATGTTAACTCTTCATTGTGTATCTGTTTTATGCAGTCTTGTCACTGAACAAAAACACCACCCTGACAGGTGCTACTATTAGGACAGGAAATACGGTAAGCTGTACTCTATGATGAATGTTTTTAATAGCTCATGAGAAGGGAAAGTAAACACACATGGAAAGTCAAGTTTTAATCATTTAAATTATACATAAAAAGTTGATTTACAAGTATACGCAAATTTAAAAAATTAAACAAGGTTTAAGAATGATCTTTCATTTTTGAAATCCTGGTTCATCTGCATTTATCAAAACAAATTACATATAAAGCAGTATCTTTATAAAATAAGTAAATACCAATAATTTTAGTTACATGGCCATGATAGCTTTAGGTGCAAAGCAAAACATTAAGTGGAATGTTAATCATGCTTGTCCACATTTTCCTTCATCTTCAATTAGATGCTCATAACAGACTGTATGAACTGAAAGAAAATAGGCATCCATATAAACCAAGTGCAATGGAACATGAATACTCCCTCACCCCCAAATCTGTTGCTTGAAATGCTCTCCACTGGTACTCGTTGCCTTCAACTCCAGTTTCTACACATTGTCCTCAGCAAAACATTAAGGACATCACTGAGCTAATATTAAACTAAAGCAAAGCACCTCATGAAAGAGCTCTCCAAACTAAGTATGCAACTTTACTGTGACTGGAAAAATGGGGGTCACACCCAAAGGAGCTACCAAAGCATCAGAGTACCCCTCCAAGGGACATGCAGGTAAGCTAAAAGAAGCTTACCAGGGCACAAGAACATCTCATGTTTTTTCCTCCGCCATAACTGGACACAAGAAGGAAGAAATGGGACATGACAACCTTCTCTATGCCTATTTTATTTTGGGCTCTCAGTTAATATAGTAAATAAGGGTGACAATTGTAATAGTGTTTAAATGAAATGATTTTTTGGTTACAGTACTAAAGTATTACTTATCAAATTATAACTGTAGCTAATTTGAAGTAAGCAAATGTCTTAGGTGCACTTACATCATCATACTGGAAATTCACAACACCCTGCTGGGCTGCATCCCTTCTTCGAAAACTATCTGCAAAAACAGAAAGAATTGCATAATACTGTAATCAATCGTATAAGCAGCACCGTCATTGTGATTGTGCCATCATTGTGATTAAAATTGACCCCTTTTACTACTAAACAGCACATGCAATGAGAAAATATTTATTCTGTATTCTACGTAAACTTTGGTGCTTGTAAGCACTGCCCAGTTGCTACAAGGCTTTTGTGTGCCAGTTTGTCCAAAGGCCAGTTTTTCTTTTCAGCAAAGACCTGGAGATTGGTTTTGTGAACATTAATAGGCCATTTGCTGATTCAGAAGAGTTTTGATGCCACCAAAGAATTGATGAGCACTCTAAGCATTGTACTGTGAACACTTGTTCAGGAGATGAGACTGGGGCCTGTTCATAAGAGCACTAGCAACTACTAAAGGGCTAATGAACAGTGTTCTTATTGGTGAGAAGCAAGAGGGGAAAGGTGGGGGGCGAAGAGAAGAAGAGCTGAAGTGAGCAATGGAGAAGGTTCTGGAGAAAGAATGACAGCCAGAAGTTAAGGGGGAGATTGACAAGTGAACAAACAAAGCAGCACAAATGAGGAAAGAGGTATGGGGGGGGAGGGGAGAACACTTCAGCCAGGAAGAGACCCACACTATCGTTGAAACTCCAAAGATGGCCCCTTCCAGAAGCTGGCCAGAGACGTGGGGCCATGGCAAACAGGGAGCTGGAGAGCATGATCAACTGGGAGACTCCCCAGAATCGACCAGTCAATCACGGTCAGCTAGTTTTTGACCACTGCCTTAGAATAACCCGATTTCATAAAATAAAAATGCATTAACCAGATGTTGCTCTAACATACCAGTGAGAGCTCTGAGTTTCACACAGCAAGCAATGTAATCATCAAATGTAATCTTCCCATTGGTGCTGTATCGTTTTGCAACTGCAGACACTGTCTGTGGGCTCAACCTAAATCCTAATTGAAAAGGTGGGGAACAAATAGTGCAATGACACAGATTATAGAGATTCAAGGAAGTTTTCATTGAACAATTTGTTGTGTGCCAGTTAATGCAAAAAACCATTAACTTGTGCTGGAAAATCCCACCAAGCACATCTAGACTGCAGGGCTTTTTTTTTTTTTTTTTTTTGCTTGACAAATTCTGGTGGGTCTAGGGGTTCCTTGAAATTCTTTTAAGCTGAAAAGGGTTCTATGGCCAAATAAAATTGGGGAAATACTGTTTTATGTCATTGAAAGGTACAAGATAGTGTGGGAGCCATCAGTTCAGACTATTTGCATAAGAATTAAACTTGTGAATTAAGTTAAGTTCCAGTCCTACAGCCGATTTTCTGAAAAGACTTCACTTACATTCACACTGCTATTGCATTCTTTCAAACGAAAAGCAAAAGAACACAGGGGGTTTTCCGACATTAGTAAACCTCATCCTACAAGGAAGAATGCCTTTTCCAAAAGAGCTCTTTCAGAAAAAGGTGTGTATGGACATGGAAGAGGGAGGTTTTTTGAAAGAAGAGGAAAGAGGAAAAAGCATAGGTGCCCTGGTGGCCACTGCATCCATAGTAATCACAACTGAAATGTGAGATAAATTCACACTGAATGGACGCTATCTTTTGAAAAAGCAGATTGCTCTTTCAATGTGCTTTGGCAATGTGGATGCTCTCTTTTGGAAGTTTTTTCAGAAGATCTCTTTTGGAAGAAGCTTTTCCAAAAAAAAGCCTGCAGTCTAGACATACCCCAAGTTACTGTCATATTAGAAGCTGGGGGAATTTCCAACTGCCAGTAATAGAGAAGTTTCACAATTTACCCATAGTTGTCAAGGCTTTCTGGAGTTCTTGTGGATCAACTGTACCACTTCTATCACTGTCAAAATTTATGAAGTGTTGTCTCCACCCATTCAAGACAGCCCAGAGATCTTTAAACTCGTTGAAACCCATTTTACCAGACATATCCCTCTGAACCATGGCTAAGGAAAAATTTCCAAACAAATGCCAGTATTTCTCAATGAGCAGCTAAATTCAATCATGAAGGATTAAAATGTATTTACGGACACTCAGAAAATAAAGGATACCTTAAATAAAAATTATATTTTCCACTGTGCTAGTGTTACATTTCTCTACAACACATCTGTCCCAGATCTCAGGCAGACAGAATATTTTTGGCCAAAGATCAGTGATCAGAAAACCAAATATACTCCTCCATCCATCTGAAAAAAAAGTAGCGTTTTGTCTCTGCTGACATACTGCCTACATACATTTTCCATCATTAATGTGCAACTGTAGCTTTGTCCAAATATCAGAAAAGCTAGCAACAAAATAAAGGCTTGTGCATATGCTAGCATTTTACTGCATAAAACATAAGGTTAGTTTTGCAGAAGAGTCAAACAAATAAGAAAGTGAAGGTATTTAGAGCCCTGCAAATCCATTGATATCTGCTGAAACAGATGCATTGTTTACCATCTTTGCAGATCACATGCAGATCCAAATGTTTGTATCCGTGTAAGGCTCTCTCAGTGAGATAGGGTTCTGATGTGGGTGTGGATACACAGAAAAGATGGAGTGCAGACTGTAGGTCAGATACAAGTGAGACATCATGGATGTAGACCTAAATACTTGGTTAGCAACAAGCTTAGAAGTCCTAACACCTCTTATTTTATTTCTAATAATATTGTCTTACAACAGCAAAGCATTTGGAATAAATTGTAGTTCCAATAGTGTAGAGAAAAGATCAATGCCCCTCTTATATTTTTTCCTTCTCATTCTTTGGCATTTTGAGTTAGAAAATGAAAGGATTTTTTTAAGCTGTGTGTATGCTCAATTTTGTCAGTCACAAAAGTGAACTACTGGTATACTAAATATCAAGTGAGCTATTGGTGCAGTGAGTACCAATTAGAGCAGGGGTGGGCAATAATTTTTGGTGGGGGCCACTCCAAGATTTTGGAAAGTGGTTGGGGACCACACTTTTTTGTGGAGATGTGGGGTCTAGGATGGTGGCTGGGTGCAGAAGGACGCACAGGGTAAAGGACTGGGGTTCAGGAGACGGTGCGAGATTTGAAAGGGAGTTTGGATGAAGGAGGGGGTTGTGACCTGGGTCAGGGGATTGGGGTGCAGGGTCTGGGAGGGCATTTAGGTGCAGGAGAGGATTCTGGCCGAGAGGGGAAGGAGGGGGTACAGTGTCTGGGAGGGAGTTGTGAGCTGGGGGTGCAGAGGGTTTGGATAGCTCTGGGGGAAGGAGTTGGGGTACAGGAAGGGCATGGGTGCCAGAGGCAGGGTCTGTCTGGGAGGTGCTTATCTAAGCATCTCCTAGTCAGTACCCCCCCAAGGCCAGCTAGGCTCCCTGCCTGCTGCAGCCCCAGATTCCTTATAGGTCCAGGCCATGTGGCTCTCAGTTGAGGGAGCGGGAAGACACTTGCCAATCCCCTGGGCTAATCCTCAGCTCCTATTGGCTAGTTGTTTTCAGCCAATAAGAGCTGAGAGATTGAGTGGTGTCAATTCCTATTAGCTTGTTGCTGCTGTCCAATAGAAGCTGAGGATTGTGCTGGAGGTGGGGAGATCACATTAAGTCTCCCCTTCCATCCAGAGCAGAGAGCCGCCGGACTGTGCTTTAAACCCACAGCAGCTGTGTGCCTGAGGGTCCTGTCAGGGTAGTTTGCAGGCTGGATCTGGTGGCTTCGCAGGCCGGATGTAGCCCCGAGGATGTATTTTGCCCAGCCCTGAATTAGAGTCATGTCATTACAGAGAAACTTTATAAATGAATACAGTAGACTCCCTATTCATCAATTGAGTATTCAGTTCATAATCTCAAATATCTCAGAATTACAATAGTATAGTGCATAAATTAATCCTTCAATGATAGGAAACATAACAAATGTGTACAGTGTGCTTGATTTTTGAGCTAAATGCATCTCTGCCTCCAAACATTAGTTTTGCCAAATATATACAGACACTAAAGGATTGAAGTCACATTCCAAAGCAGAAAAAGGAACTGGAAAGTGACCAAAAAAAGCCACCACACATGCATCCCCCCCCACATCCTAAACATACAACTTGTCTTTCATAAGACTGATGTTCATAAAATAGGAGTGCTACTACAGCTAATCCTCCTAATTCTTATGTTAGTGCTATAATACTTTAGATTCTCTTCTATGAAGGTTTTCTACTTATTGACAAATAAGTAGCAACCCATGCTGCCTACAATACAAAGTTTAACCAATGTGCTTTCAAAAGGCACTTCAACCACATATTAAGGTTGCCTGAGAATACTCTGTTTTCAGTTGCTTACAACTTTGCAATCTTCAACCCTTTGGTGTGAAATTTTCCAGAATAATAGTCTGGAAAATTTCAGCCAAAACAGCTCAGGCTTTTTCTGAAAACGAGCTTAGGGCAAAGTACATCATTTTGTCCATTACAAAATATGACAGTCTTTTTTGCACAGCTTTAATGCTTCCATGGTTTGGAATAGGAACTTGTAATCTGGCACGTGCATGGTTTGTGTGTTAGAAATGTATCTTTTGACATCCCTCTGAAAAACTGGCCAGATCTCGTCAAGCTATTGGCTACAGAAAAATCATAGTTCACACAAGTTCAGTAGAGAACAGATTTTAGCCACTAAAAATCTGAAGAATTAGTTATCCAATGATGGGTATTTCACAACCCTTGTTGGAACCTAATCTAAATATCTCACTGCAGATTAAACCCATGCTATTACCTCTACTTTGAGGACAGAGAACAATTTATCACCATTCTCTTTATGACTGCCCTTCCCTTAACTTATTTGATTATTGTTACCAGACTTCTCCAGTCTTTTTTTCCCTTGAGACTTAATGTGTCTTTTTTAAAAACTTTCCTCATAGGAAAAGTTTTCTAAAAGAAATGATTTATTACTCTTCTTACGCTCTCTCCAATTTATGCACTCCCTTCCTCAAGTGTGCCCAGAAATGGACACATACCTCAATTGATACCTCACTACCGCTGAGTAGAACAGGACAATTACCTGCCATTAATACCACTCAGAATATTAGCTTTTTTTGCAATTACATCACATTCTTGTCTCTCATTCAATTTGTGATCCACTATCACATACAGATTTTTTTATAGCAGTATAACCATCTATCTAGTTATTTCCTACTTTGTAGTTTTGCATTTGATTTTTTTCCTTCCTAAGGGCATGTCTACTCTAGGAAATTATTTTGAAATAAATTTGAAAACTCCCAAAAACAACAAAATCAAAATAGCATGTCCCCACTACAGCGGGAGAGGGGAGGCTCGAAATTAGTCCAAGACAGGCTCCACTACTATGAAGTAATTACTCCCCAGTGCTTCCTGGGGCTCTAAGTTGAGGTAGTATATCCAAAATACTCTGGGGAGTAGTTATTTCAAAATAGCAGAAGTGGAGCAGCCACACTACTGCTATTTCAAAATAAGTTTTTTTCCCCCAAGGAAAGGAGGAGTACAGATTTTGAAATAACCTGCCCATTATTTTGAAATAATAGGGCTGATGGTATGGATGCTCCAATTATTATTTCGAAATAACTCCCTAGTGTAGACCAAGGCTAAGTGTAGTACTTTGCACTTGTGACTGAATTTTTTCGTCTTTATTTCATACCAATTCTCCAATTCATCAAGGTCATTTTGAATTTAAATGCTGTCCTCCTAAGTGCTTGCCACAATTGCCACCCTGTTCTCATCTGCAAATGTTACACACACATATATACACACACACACACACACACACACGTCATTAATGAAAATAGTATTGGATATAGGCCTGACCCGTGTGACTCCATTTTATACATCCTCCTGATTTGACAACGAACGACTGACAACTACTCTTTGGGTTTTTCACCCACAATGCCACATGATGAAATTTATATTTTCAGTTTGTTTTTTAAAATATTTCAACATATACCAATTACATAAAAAGAACATTAGGAAGGCTGTAAAATTAAGCACTCAAATTAGAAAATACCAGAATTAAGATTACCTCGCCTCACTCAATGCACAAGATAAAGTATGCTCAATTAGTATCTATCTGTACTAGTTAATTCAGGCTCACAAGGCTCAGTGTAGACATTTGGGCTGAATCCCCAGCACCGGGATTCTCTATTCATCATAGGGTCTCAGAGCCCAGGATCCAGCACAAACATCTACACTGCAATTAAACAGCCCCTCAACCTAAGGCTCATGAGCCCAAGTCAGCTGGCATAGGCACACTGCAGGTTTTTAACTTCAGTTAAAATGAACAGTTATTCAGTATTTTGTTTTCTCCTCATTGTTCAGTGTGTTGCTTCATGCTTTATTTACTGTAAATATCAAAACATTGCTCTTAATACAATATTACCATATTCCCACAGCCCCCATTGGCCAGGAACAGCAAACCATGGCTAATGGGAGTTGCAAACAGCTGTAACTGTGGCCATTCAGGCAAATAAAGCATCAGCAGCAAATCCTGTCAAACCATGTCTGGCCTGTGGGCTGTTTGCCCACCCTTGTACCAGACACAGTTCACTGTCTGCAACAAATAACAGTGT